CTATTTCACTCGGACCTGACTAAAGTCAGCTCCAAATGAAAGGGGCCAACTGTTATGGTAATTTACCATCTAAAAATAAAAATGTCAAGAGATTGTCTGCATAGGCTTAAAAAGGGCATGGTCCAAACCAGCTTAGAGGCCCAAAAGCCCAACCAAGGGCAGGTCTATCGGCCAGCCGAGCAGACGAGTCATCTTTCGACCAAGGGTCATCATTACTGACTCGAAGTGTGGGATTAGTCGATCCCTCGTAATTAAGATGACTCCTTGAGCAGACGTCTTGACCATACACTCGACCATACACTCAACTTAAAGCTCACTCGACTATCGGGTCGGCAAATCATAATAATGACTCACAAGATCAACCCGCCTCGACTAAAGGGATAAGATCCGACTAAGCTCGCTTCAGATGTCAATCGGCACTACAACATTGATCAGTCCCACCGAGATCTCCGCTCTGACAAATCCCATGCATAAGCCGCTTATTCTCCACTAAGTCACTTCCCAGAGATCGCCATGATGCTCTCCTAGCTCGAATAGCTTCCTCTCTAATCACCAACCGCCATCTGGAAGGGGAGGACGAACAAGTAGCTGGCCTATCCTCTACCCTACCTCATATGTTAAATCCAGGATACTGAGAAGATATTTCTCTCCTGTACCCGAATGACTTCTCTTCCAATCGCCAGTCTACATCCGAAAGGAGAAGGATGACTCAATAACCTATCTGTTCATCCCTTAACCACCTCCTGTGCATAGTCAAAGCCAAGGGTCAAAATCTCAGAGGCAATAGGCTATAAAAGGAGGAAAAGAAGGTAACAAAGAGGGGAGATTCTTTTTCTACTACTTCTTCATAAAAGCTCTGAATTTATCTTTACTAAGGAGTGATAACTCTAAAAGAGTACCCGCTAAGAACCTCAATGGCCCAGGGACTCTCCCTCAAACCCAACTCAAGATCACTAGCTGACTTGACTGTCAGAGGTACCACGGGGGAAACGAACCCCGCCCTCCTACGGGTTTATTCTTGTTTGTGCAGAAGGATCAGGAATTCTAGCCTAAGAATCATGTTGGCCTTCTTTTTTTGATGATGTTTAACAAACAATTTACTTCTAATATTGTTTATCTAGTGTTTGTATTTTCGTATTTATTCTAGGCAAACAACGAGTTAGAGGATGGATGGAATTACGTATTCACGATCATATCCAATGGAGGTTGGCAGAATTGTGGAGTGAAGCCATACAATTCAAGTTGAAGATCCAAGTTCAAGCTTCATCCGCAAGATTACCAAGAAGAGCTTATTGAAGATCAAGATCATAGCTTGGGTAATTTAGTTTAGGTGTTATATTATGTGTGTTAAGTACTTTAAGCTCAATATCATACACATACACACACATTTTATTGGTTTCTATGTATATATATATATATATATTATATTATATATATATATATATATATATATATATATATATATATATATATATATATATATATATATATATATATATATATATATATATATATATATATATATATATATATATAAGAAATATGGAGAAACTTGGTACCAAGTTTCTAAATTGAACTTGTAGTGAGTGTGTCAAATCTAGTCCATACATCATGCATTGGAGAGAGAGCCTCAATCACTATTCAGCCTAATTTAAAAAAGAGGCTCCATCTCCAATGCATGATGTATGGTCTAGATTTGACCACCTTACTACCAAGTTCAATGAAAAAATTGGTACCAAGTTTCTCCATATTTCTCTCTCTCTCTCTCTCTCTCTCTCTTATATATATATATATATAGTTATATATATATATATATATATATATATATATGTACACATTTTGGATTTTGGTTTATCCACAAACAAAGTTTCTACTAGCATATAAATAAATATTTATATTCATACATGTTTGTTTTTATGTGGATAAGTTGTTTTGGTTTAATTTCATAGATATGAAACAAATATATATTCATATTCATACTCATATGTTTCATATTCTATTGTATTTGTGAAAATACTATATTCATTATTTATAGACTTCATAACAATAGTTTATATCTTTCTTCAAGTCTATAAAATCATTTTGTATTATTTCAAAACATGGTTAAGCTAAAATGTTAAAACTCATATATTCATATTTTCATGTTTTGGACTATTTTGCAAAATGATGATATTTTTTATTGGGGAGATCCTTTTTAAAAACCAGTCTTTGTAGCATGTTTATTATCATGTCTACAATCATTTCCTAAAGTTTTATATTTTTTTGGAAATTATTTGATATTTTAAACAGGGTTTTAAAATCAGAAAATCAACTTTCAAACCTGTTTTCTCATATGTCAGTTTACGGTCGACCGTCACGGTCGACTGCTGTTTGTTGGAAAATTTACAATAAGAAAAATGAATGAAAGAAATGTATTTGATTTTATTCTCTCTAACTGCTTAGAAAAAGAATGTTTACAAATCTCTCAACTCTCGATTACAATTGGATTTCCTGATTACAAAAGAGCCTTGGTTTAAAACTGGGTTCTTCACGGTGGCGATGAGATGCCTCCCTCGATTGCTCGCGTCGAGTTTGCTTCTCGTTGACGATCCGACGTCTTATTTCACTGGAACATGATCTTCTCCTCACGATTTGACGTTATGGAGAACTTGCGTGGCAAGTTTTAAAACTCTTGATGAGTTGATTGATCTTAACCGTAATTGGTTAGACCAGCCAATGATCTCTTCTTTGCTGCCAAAAAGAAAGATGAAAGATCTAGCAGACCCCCCTGAACTGAATTGATTTTCAGTTATTTATAGGGGATTAAGGGGTGTAACCACCTCCTTAATTCGCTCCTAAGTGGGGATAATGGGATGTAACCGTCCCTTAAATCACTCCTGAGTGGAGTTGTGATCCCCTCAGATCGTGGAAAACGGTTTTGAAACTGTTCAGCTCGTGTTTGAACGAGTCAAACGCAAAATCCGCGTTCTGGTGTGAATTCTGCGTTCAAACGCAGTGTCTGGAAGCTTGAACACAGTGTCTGGAAGCTGCGTTGGCATCTTGTTGGAAGCTGCGTTTGGCGGCTTGGAAGCTGCGTTTGGCAGCGGATGGAAGCTGCGTTGGCAGCGGATGAAAGCTGCGTTTGGTGGCTTGGAAGCTGCATTTGCGGCCGAACATGAGCTGCGTTGGCGGCCGAATCTGAGCTGTGTTTGCAGCTTTTGGAGCTGCGTTTGCGGCTGAACATGAGCTGCGTTGGCGGCCGAATCTGAGCTGCGTTTGCAGCTTTTGGAGCTGCGTTTGAGCTACGTTCGTGGCTATGAACGCGGCGCATCTTGATGCTGGTACGCGGGGAGGACTTTCACGTCTTGATTTGAAGAGACCGTCGATTTGTAGTCTCTTTCTGTCGAAGTGTTGCAAAGATCATCATTTTGTAATCTTTACTTTAGCTCTCTGATATGTGAGAGTCGTCAGATTGTAACTCCCGATGTTGATTGTGGAGGCTGTTGATTAGAGCTTTCATCAATTGTTGTGAAGGTCGTCAGATTGTAACCTTCATCGATCCACGTGAAAGTCTTCAAATTGTAGCATTCTGGAAGTCGTCAGATTATAACTTCCATCATCGGTGTTGAGAAGAAGCAGTCTATTGTTGCACTCTCAACTTGTGAAGCGGAGTATGTAGCAGCTACGTCGAGTGCTTGTCAAACAATTTTGGTTGCGTAATATGCTAAGTCAGATTCATATTCAAGTTGAAGGTCCTACAAAGATTTATGTTGACAACAAGTCCGCAATTGATTTGGCAAAGAATCCAGTCACTCATGGAAGGAGCAAACATATTCATACTCGTTACCACTTTTTACGAGACAATGTTGAGAAGAACGAGAACATGTTGATTATTGCAAGTCTGAAGATCAAGTTGCGGACATCCTCACGAAACCTCTAAAGTTTGAAGCGTTTGTCAAGTTGAAGCACGTGATAGGAATGAAGACCTTACAGAATTAGGATTAAGGGGGGATATGTTGAAGTTAATCCTAATTCTAAAAGGATTTGAGTTAGTTATCTCTAGGAATTATAATCAAACTAGAATTCTATTATGAAACACATTGTAAAGTCTTTAAATAGGCATTCATGCATCCTTCTACCTAAGAGAAAAAAGAGAAAAAGAAAAAAAGAAAGGGGTCAAAGTACTGTATCTACAGTAACCAAGAGTTTAGAAGAGTTTTTTTATTTGCTTCTCCCACTAAATCTCTACTCATACATTTTATACTTCTATTTGCTTTGTCGTTGATTGCTCCAACAGAATCAACTTCTAGAGAATTGTGAAATGTAGCAGCAATTTTAATGGTTTGAGGGGCTAATTTTGAAATAATTTATAAGAGATGACAGATCTAATAACAATATCAATGATCTAAAAAAGCTAATTTCAAATTAAAAATTTAGGGACTTAACATTGGAAAAACCATTCTCTCAAGCAAAGAAAGTAGAAATTTAGATGCATGGTAAGTTGTAACTTGTAAGTGTCTGCTAGTCATGGTATATTTGAAACGTTTCATTACATAGCACTTCGTATATGAAAAGCAATAGGGACTGAGGATTGTCTCAGTAGTATCCTCATGTTACTCATTATAGTTTATTGAAATAGGCAACATCCAGAATTATCATTCCTTAATTAGTGTCCTGCTATAGTTGCGTGCATGTAATCAAGTAATGTCATGTATGTGACACTACTGATACTATTTAGCTCCGCCGGCAATGTAAGTTAAATTAATGCTCTAAAGTCAATTTATCATCAAATTGACTATGCTCTCATTCTCTTCTGATATATTTAGGTCTTGTGAGAGCATTTAATTTCTACGCATGGGTCAAATAGTGGCAATTTCCTACGAGCATGCAGATAACCTACGCAATAGCTGCAGCCTTTGAGGTGGAGACTGGTCCGGCTTCTTGCCCTCCAAGAAAAAGATTTGATCCAAACTAAATAAGATTCATGACGGCGTTTATTCAACCCGCACGGGTGCGGTGACCTCACACAAAATTCGTCACTGCTGACGTCTTTGATCTCCGTCGGCATCAGTTTCCAAATTTGGCCGTGGACCGCCGCCTCGATCGGCTGTTCTTCGAAAACAGCATTCAGCTGTTCTGAGGGCGCATATGCTCCAGTGGAGTGGAATTGTGTTACGGGGTATTCCTTGTCCATATGGTCTGCAACTAGTAGGACCAATTGGTTGGTTTCATAAAATCAAAGAAAATGAAATAGGATATTGGAAATTATTAAAGGTTAATTTCTATTCATTTCCATCTTTAAAAATCACTCACATCATCCAATAATATGGTGACAACTCATCTCATCTCATCTTCTTTCTTACTTTTAAGAATGAATCAAACACAAGAAAAGAACCTATTATAAAAAATAGATTTATTTAAAAATGGTTTCTTTAAAAATGAGTCACTTCATCCAATAATATGGTGACAATTCATCTCATGTCATTAAAAGTTGATTTCTATCTATTTCCTCAAAAATCATGAAATGAGTTTCCTTAAATATGAGTCGCATCATCTAATAATATAATGACAACTCATCTCATATCATCTCTTTTCTTAGTTTTAAGAATGAACCAAACACAAGAAAAAAACCTACTATAGAAAATAGATTTCTTATAATTGATTTTCTTGTTTTTTTAGCCAACTAAACAACCTCAAAATATCATGAAATTTGTTTCTTAAAAAATCACTCACATCATCCAATAATATGGTGACAATTCATCTCATATCATTTCCTACTTTTAAGAAGTAAGTCAAACACAAGAAAAGAACATATTATAGGAAATAAGTTTTTCTTTTCTTTGATTTTTTTTATTTTTTTAGCCATCCAAAAAGCCCCAGCTGACGGTGGGCTGTCCTGGCGAACATATGACTCTAGAGTGACCTCAAATCCTAAACTTATACGGACAAAATTTCAAAACCAACCCATTTGATGTTTTAATTGCAAAAAACGACCCGTTTCTATTTTATTTAGAGAAACCGACCTGGTTTCAGCACTGTCGCTGAAACCAGGTCGGTTTTTGAAAAAAACTTTACGAAACTTCACGGGAGTTCAACTCCCGTGAAGTTTACTACGTTTTTAAACTTCACGGGAGTTGAACTCCCGTGAAGTTTCGTAAAGTTATTTAGAGAAACCGACCTGGTTTCAGCGACAGTGCTGAAACCAGGTCGGTTTCTCTAAATAAGTTAGAAACGGGTCGTTTTTTACAATTAAAACATCAAATGGGTTGGTTTTGAAAATTTGTCCAAACTTATACCCATAAACCCTACACCCAACCCCACATCCTAACCAATCACACTGTGAGTACAATCACAGACTGTAACAAACATTGCTCAACTAGTAGAGTTGCTCGGTTCTCATATTTGAAACTATAACATTATGTGCATAGATTTTTTTGAGGATTAATTACATTCAGGTATCCTAGAAAATGAAAGCAACATATTTAGGAATTCTAGTATTATTGATTATAATTGCACATGTGATCCGAAATTCAGATTATCTTTTTTCTTCTCAAAGTTACTAGTATAGATATAATATCATGAATATATATTATCTGTGTAGATACCCAGATTGAAGGCTCACCCATATAATTATGTCATATCTCGTGATATCTGAATATAATTAATCTGATTTCATGATGGACAAGGTTATCTGCTCATTTGAAAAATTTATACCATTTAAATTTAGCCTATTAGCAACTAAAACCTAAACTCAAAACCAATATTCAAATCACACCATCTCTGTATAATAGGTAAATGCCATTTTTTCTCCCGAAGTTGTCGGAATTAGTCGTAATAAAATATTGGCTATAATTGAAGAGGTCTTATCAATAAAATTTCCATTTGTCCGAGATCTAGGCATAATTAGCAATCCATTCTACAATTCTTCTCATTACCCCCTCGGCTCGGGGAAAATTATCCCACAAACAAAGGAATTGTACAGTACAAAATAACATAAAAACAGAAAAATTCGAAAAAGATGTGTACCTTCCGCTCAAATTGTACCCTTTTCGGACAAAAATAGATAGGAGACTTTTGATAGAATCAGAGTCAATTTCATATAAATTTCGTAGTATATAAATGAACGGAACTATTACTATTTCATCTAAGTTGAATAACCAAGCACTTTGATTTTACTATGGATTCTTATAACTCGAGAAATTTTTATTTGGTTATGATCCAAGGAGGAAAAGGGATGGAATAATCATTATACAATCGAAATCAAATAGAAAAATCCACGGTACGATTCATGAATTTGTAATAGATCTATGGGATAGATGATAAGAAGGGGATCCAAATCCCAAAATAAATTTCTATGGCAATTAATGGTGTGCCATAGTTTTCGGTACATATGAAAGAGAACCAACTTTTATTTATGACAATATAGGAGATCCTACATAATAGCCGAGCTTTGCTACAGGGACCCAAAATATGGGACCAATAAGGGGGACAAGTGATGTGTCTCCATCCTATTGGATAATGAGTTGGCCATCATTAATGATGACCAACTCATTATTCAATAGGATGGGGACACCTCACTTGTCCTCCCTATTGGTCCCATATTTTGGGTCATTGAAGAATTTTTCCATAATAGCCTTAGCCGCGTTATTTTTCCCTTAACCGAAGAAACAGCAGGGGGAAGATCCACCAACTTCACCGCCCAATTCCTCTCTAAAGTCCAGATCACACTTACAAAACACTATTGCCTGATCAAAACCTAACATTGAATCCACGTTCCAAAAAAACCAACACGTGCTAGACGGCATCAGTCAATCTCAAACCACGATATCATCACAAAATACCAAGAAAAACAGATTCGACGGAAATCTCCGCATAGAAAATGATAATGGGAGTAAACTGTAAGAACAATTTAATATATATTCTGTGTAATAATCAAGCTGTAAAATGAGTAGTCAACCAAAAAAAAAAAAAACACACAACATTTAGGATATCAATATATACTAACTACTAAATCAATATAATAAATACATTTCGTTCACCTGTAGATTATTGGCTATCTTTTTAGGATACTTTTAGGATATTTTGTTTTAGATTGGGATTCTGATCCGGAATCTCTCATTAAACTCTTGTTATGGTACAATTGCCAAAGTACAACACATTGCTAGACATGTGTACTTCTGCATGCATTGTCCCAATCAAGTTGGCGGCCAAGACCAGCAAGGATCCTGACTTAGCCGACTCGCCGAGTCAATATCCCATTATGTCGACTCGAACGACGGTTTCTGTCAGTCCTCTTGTCGAAGACGACTCGCTGCGAGCTCACTTGATCAATTAGTCCACGCCTCGCGAGGTCGACTCGTAAGGCGTTACTTCTCGTCCAAGCCACAGGACGACTTCAACCTCGAAGTTCTCCCACGTACTGACAACGTGTCAGTATAGCATTTAATGCTTGACAGACACCATCATGCTTTTAGCCCCGATAGCTTTCATGACTTATAGACCACGTCGGCACCGTCATGCGTCCGATCATTTCTCATTTAATGCTGAAGTGATCTATCATCCACTCGCCGAGCGACACCTGTAAAGTAGGTGCTGACACAACTGTGAGCCAATGCTTATCTACCGCCATACTGTGCTCAGTTGAAGTGACCATTCTACCTCTTATACCACCAGTATAAAAAGAGGTATTATTCCAGATATCAAAGTAAGTGATTCTAAGCAATTCCAATACACAGTACAAGAACTCTCACAGTTCTTCATTTTCCCCACTCAAGTTCACCAGCTGACTTGATCATCGAATGTATCACGAAGGAACCAAGCCCTGTCCTCTCACGAATTTTTACTTGTGCAGGTTAAAAGCTACTCAACTTAGAACCAGATATTCAAGAAAGGAAACGGTCCATCATCAACCTCACTCGTCGTATATACGTTTGATCGTTTGATCACTTAACATCAACAACTGATCTTATTGTTGAGCATGAGGTTAGACTCATCATTATTCTAAAAAAAACATCAACCTGTATAATCATCATTTAAAAAAACACCAGTACTCAATATTTTTTTCCATAATAGCTCACAAGTTTTACCGTCCTACTCTTTTACCGTATGCATGCATGTACGCTGTTCTAATAGAATTAATACTCATAATTCTCCTATATTATTTTCCATGATGAGCCGCTCATAGCAACTTTTTGGTCTTGGGGATCCCCACCCAACTTAGAAAAGGCGAATATCCAATTCCACGCTCTGACCCGACCGCCTCCAACTCAGAGGCCCAGATCTCGCCAGCTAACGCACCCAGAAACCGCCTGCACCTCCCACACAACACCTCCCTACGATATTTATACGCAAGCAATATCCCCACAAAAAAAAATACCAAGAAATAATTAAAAAGAAAAATGACAACAAAATCAAGAAGAGACGCGGAAGCGGAGCTCAACTTACCAGCAGGCTTCCGGTTCCACCCAACCGACGAAGAGCTGGTGATCCACTACCTCTGCGCCAAGGTCGCCAAGCAGACCCCCCAGGTTCCCATCATCGCCGACATCAACCTTTACAAATACGACCCATGGGATTTGCCCGAGAAGGCTCTGTTCGGTCAGAGGGAGTGGTATTTCTTCACGCCGAGGGATCGGAAGTATCCGAACGGATCGGCTGATGGGAGTCGGGGTGCTACTAGCTATAAGAAAGGAAGCTTGAGGGTATGTTTGCAATTTTTTTTTTTTTTTTGTAATTTAACGGATCAAAACAAAATATTATTCTTTTATTTTAATTTTTGATCAAGTAAGTATCATGCTTTTATATAATTTTAAGTTTTAATATTTTATTTATATGTATGTGAGTACGAGATAAATTTCTTAAATTCATTAATCGTTAGGAATTATGAAGTTTCAGAAAAATGTCATAATAAAGCTCATCGTGAATTATTATATTTTTAAAGGAAAATAATCTCGTTTATTTTATTACAAGAAGTGCACAACAAACCTTTTCTCCAAAATTATATTATTTGTGGGTTTTATGGTTGTTTTTCGTGTAATATTAACTGGGTTAATTGCGGACAGGACAACCCTTTAGTTCCGTTGTTTCAGATATACCCCTGAAAGATTATAACAAATAGTTGGGATAAAGAGTTTAAAAAATCAGATCTAATTAACGTATCAATTGAATGTCAAAACCTTGGATCATTGGATAGTATTGCAATTTATTTCAAAGAAATTAGAATGAAAATTAGCTGAGTTTTTCTAGATAGAGAGTCAAGTGGTTCCGGGTCCATAATATTAAGTGTGCATGCGTCAAATAGATGTCTTTAAATGTGCATCAAATGTATATCAAACCTTGGATCATTTGAGCACAGGTCTAATAGGTGACATCTTTTTTTTAATTTGTGCACATTTAATTTCATAGACCAGATTCCTTGGATAGTATTCCTAGATCTATAGAAAGATTTTCTATAATCTATACATTCCTTTTATTCCATGTTTTTGATGAATTGATGATAAAATGTAGTGTTCCCGTTCTTGCAGTTGGATGACTGGGTTCTATGTCGGCTCTACAACAAGAAAAACGCTTGGGAGAAGAAGATAAAACTGCAAGAAGAAGAGAACTCGGACAGCTTCCAAACCCTAGAATCAGATATTGAGCTCCCAGACTCTGATGATCGCGTTATTCAACCTCCATTACTGAATCCAACTCCAGTTCCAAGCGTCACGAACCAAGTTGCGAGAACTATCAAAGAAGACAACGATTGGTTCCGGGACTTCAATCTCGATGACTTGCAGAGTTCCTTTGCGGAGTTCCAATCCGTACCAGGCATCAGTGGTGGCAGCCACGGTTGCTATTTCTCAGAACACTTGGTTTGAGTCTTAAAAGCTTTGGATTCTTTAGTTTGTTTTTTTGGATCTGCAGTAGACGTCAGGAGTACATAATTGATAGCATAGCATACTTGTAAACTATATTTTTGGTTCGATTTTGGAGAAATTCGAAATTCTTATTATGGTTTGGGATTCTGTGACGTGTTTGTTCTTCATAATAGTTTTGCTTTGGCTTATCTATATCCCCATCAAGAAAGCATCTTGGAAAAGATCGACGTCGCTCTTATCAGTTTTAGTTCTGCAAGGAAAACTAATAAGGCTGATTTTAGGTTAGATACATGCATGGGGAATTCATTACTTTTCATTTATAAAGTGTTTGATTAACATTTACACCCTGATGTGAAAACAGGGTCTATATTTGTACTAGTGCTTAAAAGAGAATAAAATATTTATGCAATACAATGAAATATCAGGAAATTACTCTAGCCATCCAAATTTTTTTTTAGAGAACTCATATTAGACATCAAAAGATCCAAATGCTAATTAAAAAAATAGAAGTCATAAGTGGTTGAGCCTTTACTATACAGGAGATATCTTTGCAATTAAACCAAGTTAATGTAAGACTGAAGCGCGTATAGGGTCTGTTGAAGTTCAAAAAAGAGTTGTAAACTGAGATCTGGTGCCTAGACATGTCCAATGACTATGAAATGGGACATGAGAAATCTAGTATTTGCATTCTATTTTTGGTGCATTACAGATAAATCTAAAGTTTTTTAAACACAGGTTATCCTACTTGTTTGATTATTCAACACTCTTGCCATAATGCATCTGTGAATGAGAAACTGCTAATCGGTTAAAAACTATATATAGTACGTTACTCATCAGTATCATCTAGTAAAATTCGAACGGAGTTTTCTGCATTCTTCAACTCTAGGGGGCCTTTTGTTTCCATGCATTTGATAGGTTTTCCATTGGAAAAATGGGACTCACAAGTTTAAAAGCTTAGATTTTTATCAAATACAATGTTTGTTTGGCACTCTTCATTCCACGAATTTAGATTTGTCAGGTAAAATAGTTGCACTAAATGTAATTCCCTAAAGTTATGTTAATTTCGGTCAGATTTGTGAGTTTAGTCACATATTATTCTCAGCAAAGTTGATATGAAACCAAACAAAATTTAGTTGCATTTTATCCCTCATCACAGACAAACAAACGAAGATTTTAAGTGTGAATTTTTCAAAATCCATTACATATATCAAGATGCAATCAACTAATTTGCCCTACGATCATCTAGGTACTAGTTAAAGCAAGATTGATCCTGGTCAATAGAACCAGCATAAGCATAACAATAAGATATGCCAACCAAATTAAGCGCAAAAACTGGGATCAATCTGTTGGTATACAATCACAAGTCCATTCCTCTACTCTTTCTCATTGAAAAATCTTCAAGGCAAGTATCCAACATCTCCAAAAGATTCAGTAAACAGTTCAGTATACACACAGATAAAGAATCAAAGATGCACATAGATTGCTATAAACATATGGCAACCACCAACCATCATTAAACAAGCACGATAAAATCCAATAAGAAAAAGTACAGTATTAAAATAATAATACTGATTTGCAGTTTGTTCCTGTGTACATGACTATAATAGATGACCAAATAAAATAGGAATGTCTACCAAACTTATAGCCATCTATTTCATGCTAGCAACAAGAAACAGATGTTCTAACAATATATTCATAATTCACAAGAAATTTAGCAACAGTGGAAATCTTTTTTTTTTTTAAAGTAACAATTAAAAATTAAAAATACATAGTTTGGTCTGCTAGCATGCAACTCTGGAGACAGAATATCCAACAAGTGTATACTATAAAAGAAACCATGTAATGCTTATAATACAAAGCAAAAGTGCTATCACAAAAGAAATACGAAACAACAACATTTAGCAGTAACAGAGAAGACAGCCAGGCCTAACTTTCTTGATGCCTGCAAGATAGGGTTTATCTATCATAGTATATAGGCTCAAGAATTAGATTAAGTTCCTCTGTCATAGACATGTATATGAATAATGAGAATAAACAGAGACAGGAAAAGTGCAAAAAAAATCAAAAGAACTAAGCTATAAACGAATAGGAAAGCCCTATACATAAAAAAATTGCAGCCAAGATGGCCTGATCTAAGATAATGGTTAAAAGATCCATCATTGTTGTATATTATCCTTTGCCCCCTCTTCGCTTTCCCCTTGAACCTTTGTGAAGGGGATCGGGAAAAAACAGAGAGAAATTAGCTATACAAACGAGCTGGATACATTTTGGCCCATCATCTAAAGAATGGAGCAAACTGGTGAAATTTTCACACATCTTGGAGTCTCTCTGTTGCTTAAATGCTCTACTGGGAGAGGCATTCTTGGGGATTGGAATAAAAATAGTCCTCCTCTTTTGGTAGACCTGGCATGACCTTTCTAACTGCGGGCTGACCCCAATGGTTCTTTTGAGCCTCGCGAACCGCATGGGAAAATTGATCCCATGAGATCTCTCCATTTTGGTACAAATCCAAATGCTCTACTAGTATTTTCCTGTCCAAGACAATGCTCTTACGAAAGCCATTATACCTACATGAGCAAAAGAAACACATCTTAGCAATGTAAATACTTTGGAAACTATGTAGGCATGAAGCAGATCCTAGAACTATGATCCATTATCATCTCCTTAAATTACGAGATTTGGTTTTACAAGATTCAGAATGCCTTCAAAAGTCTAAGTATTTAATCTTATTTGAAAAATAAATATCACCAGACAGCTTATATAATGCATTCAGTTAGAGCAAACTTCAGAGCTCCTAGCCACGTAATAGTTCGAGAAATCGAATGAGTTTATTTTAGCTCTGAGGAGAATGACAAACCTGCGATGACCCTCTACAACTTTAGCCATATGTCCATCAAAAGTAGGAATAAAAACATCACTTGCAATAGCAACAAAATAATCCAATGCTGCCATCTGATTAGAATGATTTCGAAGAGGTTCCAAGTCATCTGGACTTAATAGCATCTCCTTGTCCACCTGAAATTGAATAGTTCAAATCAGAAATATTTTTTCCATTAGCATAACATATAGTAAATTTCTCCATAACGTTCAGACAAATACTTACTATATTAGGATATAAATCCCTTAGAGCAGCCATCCGCTTTTCACCACCATAAATTGTCCCTGCGGCAATATATATCGTCGTGTCTTTATCAAATTCTAGAGCTCTTAGAACCAATGTGGTCTCTTCAGGGGTAAGAGGACAACGACCTTCAAGTCTTTTCTGCTCAGAATCAATCTCCTTTTCCTTCCACCATTCAACTAAATATCTGGCATTTCATAAGACCAACCAAAAACCATTAGAATTTTGAAAGAAAATAAATAGAGGAATAGAATAGATAAATAGAATGTAGGAACCTCTTTTTTGTCAATTCCTCTGCTTGTTCGTCAGAGCATCCATGAGAGCATCCAGAAAAGGCTAACATATCCATTTCATATCGTAGATGCAGCACAACAAAGTACTTGTTTCTCTGAAGAACGGAAATAAGCTTTTTACCTAAGGCTTCAATATGTGGAGTAAACATTAGCGCATCATAATTAACACGACATCGAAGCTTTTGGAGGGAAAGTGGGAGTCCATTATTTGCAAGACGAGCATCTGTTTTCTGAAAATGAATTACTTTGTGCTTTCGTGCAAGAGGTAAGATCTGCAGCCAGTAATTAGTATGCCCCAAATGAGATAAAAGAGATAAAAAAGATAAAAAAGAAGAACAAAATCTAGATAGTTGAGAAACCAATAAGCTCTTAGCTACCTGTTTGTAGTAGTATGTCATATTAGACCAGCTAACAGGAGCCATGGAATATACAGTGATGTCATTGTTATGTATACGACTAATCACTTTCTGAGGAAGTTTCTTGATGATCTTTACCTCATCTCTCAATGAATCAATGAAACGATCTACATTAAATATATCTTCAAAATTACTGCAAAGTGAAATATTATCAATCAGAATATGCCTCTCTTAAACAGCTTGAAAACCTAATATAAGTGATGTTGATACCTTGCATCAGCCCAAAAAGCTTTTTTATCAAGTTCGGGGACTACTAACGTCAAATTTAAATAGCGGGCAATGGTAACCATGTCACAGATCTGCAAAGACCAATACTTATTAGAAGCTAATAAATTAATAATGGACCACTCAGGGGTCAAATCTGATCATCGATAGAAAATAAAGGCTTTTATCAAATCGTTGACTCAGGAAAAGTAAAAACAAGTCAAATAAAGAGGAATACAAACCGCAGCTCGCATTTGATTTAGACCTCCATTGCAAGACAATAGCAGATAACCGTTGCTTCTATAAACTCCTGCAAAAAAAAGTGAAGTTATTTAAACACCCATATATGAGTCGACCATATAAGACATTAGTAACCATGCAACAGTATGCTGCAAACACCTACATTTTACAAACACAAGTATATATTACATCGAATGCATGCTTACAAACGCAGACATACATAGAATACAAATAACACATGCATAAACAAAAATGAAAATTTTACATACGTAACAAGTTGCAGCGATGGAAAGCCCAATGCTTTTCTAAAGTTGAGAAAACTTCCCCATAAACCACATAACACAGCTGTCTAATTGACACTCAGGCGTTAATTAAGTGATCAGCTTAAGGATATTTTGTAGCTCAAGCGTTAAATAAGTTATCAGTTCAAGGATATTTGGTAGATGATTAGCATATTTTATATCATTTTATATCTTTATTTATCTTTGGTTTTTCTATATATTTAATTGCTACTCGGGTATTTTTAGTGAATTTAGGAAAATATAATTTTGAATAAAGGGAGGAAGCCTAGTGAAGCCCGTTGAAGCCAAAAAGCCTATAGAAGAATCAATCAAGCAACAGTCAGACCTACAGAGAATCAAGAAGAAAAGGAAATATGCAATTACTTGGAGGACAAGAAAAATAAAATCTAAATTAAATTCAGATTTAAATTATCAGCTGCAAAGAAAAGGCAATCTCTCACAATCCAGATGTCAGAATCTAACATATTATGTATGAAAATCACCTATCTCGACGAGACGGGTCCATCCAGATTGGCAGGTTTCTCAAATTTTATCATCAGTATCTGATTTTGGCAGAAATATTTACTCAAATTTTACGCTCTTATTTGTATTATGGAAATATCCAATTAATTGTTGACCAAGACTAATCCTACTGCTATGAGGATTACTTAGAAATGAAGTTTAATCCGAAAATTGTGAGGGATTCTTGTATAGTACAAATAGGGGCCTAGGTCATCGTATTTTACACATTCAATTCCACACACAATTCTTCAGAATTCAATAAAGTTCTTTGTTTTGCTTGCTATTTTGGAGTTCAAGTTCTTTTTTTTAGTTTCTTCAATTTAGTAAGTTGTTTAATTTCTCGTTTTTATTTTCTTGTTCTTATTCTTATTTTTCTTGCACTTTCTTCTCTTTTCTTTAATTCTTTTTTATCTTCTTTTCTCTTTAATTAATCATGAGTAGCTAATCACCATTAGGAAGCTTAGTATAACAAAGCTAGGTGACTAATCTAGATTAATAAAAAGATCTCTTTGGGTTAAGTAAAGGAGTTGATTAGTTTTGATTAATAAAAGCTAGGGTTAATTATAACTTGATAGGTTATAGGCTTTAACTAGGCATAACCTACACTTAGGAGATTAAACCCTAGAAATAAAAAGTCTAGATTAATTAATTAGAAATATTAGGATTACTAATTGATAGGTTATAGTTTCTAACGAGACATAGCTTATGCTTTTAAGGTTCTAGTAAACAAAAAATTAGGACTAATTAACAGGTTATAATTTCTAACGAAATATAGCTTATGCTTTTAGGGTTCTACTAAATAAAGAGATTAAATAAAAATATCTAGTTTAGAAACCTAGTGGAGCTAGCCTAAGTAACCTAGTTTAACTCTATTAATCAAAACCAACGTCCTTGAAACACAACCTTCTTCAAACTCTAGGATCTTAAGATAGAATTTTTTAAACAAAATTTCCTAGAGGACGACCTACAAAGGCTATAACGAAAGCTGTGGAGTTGCAGAATATAACAGAATAACACATCCGTAGAATAAGCTGAGATCATCCAGCCATTATCTTAATGCATCACAAGTAAGACCCCCATGATGTTGCATACATGGACGACTAAGATGAATGAGGTCACAAAGTTTATGTCTTCAACCAGTCTATGTACATCAAAGTAGTTCGCATCCATATTGCAGTACTAAATTTTCCCACGGCAAATATCTTGGAACTCTCAATACAATTCTTTCCAGAATTGTAATGACAATGTTGTCTATGTTCCAAGAGGCTACTCAAGTCGATTAATAATTATGACATAGGGTAACATTTATTTTTTCTTTTTTTTAGTTTGTAGAATTCAGACATCACAAAGAGCCTTTAAGTGTTCTGGCTGCATTAACCATTAGATAGAGGAAAAGGAACCCTTCCACAACCACAAAAAAAGCCTCCTCTACTGTGGTCTAAGAGGATTTATTGAAATATTGCAAATGTAATACTATGTTATCAAAGATATGCAAGAAACAACTAACCAACTATTTTAATTATGCTAAATTAAAGTAATGCTATTGTTGATGATCCAATTTATTTAACTACTTATATTCCTAACCAATTCATCTTCATTAGCTGAACTATATATGCCATCATCAAGTTACATGTCTTACATCTTCTATGGACAAAAAGCATAGAGTCTGAATAATTGAGGACCAAGAAATTCCTGAGATGTCACCAGCCTATAAGAATACGTGAATGAACACACATGATCAAGTTGGTCTAAAAACCTTTTCTTTGACAGGAAAAACTGGAAGCACGACAAAATAGAAGGCACCATTGTGTTCGAGACTAAACTCCCTCATATGTCCCAATTTAAGCCCAAAAAATAAATTGATGCCCACACACTATGAGACCCTCAAACATCTTTACTGATTTTCAGCTAGAACACCGAGAATACAGTAAGAATAAGGATACTTACTCATCTAACCATTTTTTTCAAAGCCGAAAACCCTGAGAGAACCCAAACCCTTGTAATAGCAATTACACATAATAGCAATTACACAACAGAAGTGATGATAGAATCAATAGAAATTCCACTATTAATACCAACCGATGTATTGACTAATACCAAGAGAATAGCAATAATAGTTTGCTAAAGACTCTAAATTGCAACTATATCCCAATTTCCATAAGCCTGACTATTTAGATTAACTCCCAAAGCCATTGATAATGACTGCAAACTTTTCACACGAGAAAGAGGAAGAGTCAAAACAGTTCTCCTCAAATGCTAAGGAATAAAAAAGAGAACTTTTAACATACAAATTCAAATGACCCAGGATTATCCGATTAACTCCCAGAGTTAGATAAAAAGGACACCTTTTTACCCCTAATCAAACCTAAACAATCAACACAAAACCCTAATTTCAATTAAAAACCAATTGCAATCAACTCACTCCGTGGAAGCTTCGCTCGAGGCGAGGGCAGATTTCCACCGAGAGGGTTGACCTCCTGAACGACATTATTGGTGGAATTGACGGCGGCGGCGGCGAGGTGAGGGCAGGTGCTGGCACGACGGGTCAAAGCACGGCCGACGATTCGAGCAACGTCGTTTGCCAAAAACGCCGTCAATGGAGCCAAAGATGCACCGATCATCGACCAACATGAAAAACGCTCGCACAATATCCTCAGAGCACGTGTTGCAACGACGCATCGTTCCCAAATAGCTCCGCCGCCTCCGCAACCGCGCGGCCGCCGGCCGCCGGCGGAGGCCCTGCGTCGCGTGCTCGCCGTAAGCTTTCCATTGTCGTCCAGCGGCATTGCGATGGGGATCTTTGGCCCTAAATCACAACAATCGCCATTTTAGAGAGAGATTAGGGAAAGTGCTGTTGTTATTAGGGTGGAGAAAGAATTGACTTTTAAACAAACCCTTTTTTTACCCTTTTTATTTTTTAGTTTTTTATTTTGTATCAATATTCATGCTGTTTAGTTTTGTTAATTAGATGTGAGATATGAATGAAGAGATAAAGATGGGAGTTTAAGGTATATTTTTTAGTTTTTATTTTTTTATCTGTTTAAACTAATCTATTCTACTTTAAAAAACTAATTTTGACCTCAAATCTAGATTTATTTAGATTGCATATATATTAAGTATATATATATATATATATATATATATATAATATATATATATATATAGAGAAAAATGGGTAACTTGTACCGAAGCATCCTATGGTAGTGATGTGGACACATCTTTTCCATGGCCATCACAAGCTTGAAGATGGAGCCGTCACCAACTTCGAAGGTGTGATGTATGGAAAGATGTGTCCACATCAGACTACGCAAGGATGCCTTGGCGCGCAAGTATAACCCATATTCGCTCATATATAATATATAGTATATATATATATATATATATATATAATATATATATTTCCCAATGTTTGATGTTTAATTGTTTGAATGGGTCTTTGGATTATACGAGATTGGGTCTGATCTTGTGCTAAATTACTGAAAAATTGGAGGGAAAAAAACCAAGTGCAATGAGTAAATTTAGTGAGATTATGCCTTGAATCTTTAAATGAAACAGTACGAACTACCCCCTACTAACTCTGTAAAAGTTATGAGAATCTCCAAATCTTAATGGCTTTGGTAGCATAATAATACATGATGTATCTGATAGAACATTAGCAATGCTATGTTATGTGCAGCTCAGTTAAATCTTCAGGTTATCATCTCTGAACTGGATCCCCCCCGCCAACGTGCGAGCTGCATTGGAGTTTGCATTTGTCACCTCTAATTTGATACCATTGTGTGTTAAATTATCCAGACCGAGGGACTTAACTCGGAGAGCTGCTAGCATAAGTTAATGGGCTGAACATCAAGTATGTTATGTGTTGGATTGAATTTTTAAAGGACAAAGTTTATATAAAATAAGTAAGTTACTTAGGTTTTGACAACTATACTGTGTTAGAACTTCAGTCATCACCATAACTTTAGAGATTTGATGTAGCAGCAGAGATTTTAACATAGTGTCAGAACAGCTCAGAATCAATTCCAACATGCTACAGATTTAAAGTGAATTTTATCCTAATGTCTATGAAATATAGTTTTACAACATTAATAATTGGTTCATAGGGAGGCAAAAGGTAGCCCTTGTAAGTTTAAAACACAAAATGCCACAACAGCTTCTTTGCATAATTTTTTCTAACATTAGTTACTTGTCCATCTCATTTTCCTAAATGTAATAGAAAGAAATAAATAAAGTTAGCTTCTTTTTAAAATTTTGGCAAGCCACTATCATTATATGGACAAATTGAGCTTGACCATTTTTGCGTAGTTTGCATTGTATGAGCCGGTCTCAATGCGTTTCCCCATTTTACAACCTAACAGGGCAACTATATTCCAAACATTAAAGGCAGTGCTAAAATCCAACTCCGTCTAATCCAAACAAAAGTGCGCTTGTTGGGTTACGGTTTTAAATTTATGCTTATATACATGTGAACGACACTTGTTATGGATTGTCTAAAAGTGAGACTAATATAGGATCAAATATTAACAAAATTATAAAAATGAGTGGAATTTTCAGTTACAATATTTGATCGATAATTTTTTTCTCTTTTAGTTAAGTATTAGTACTTATTTGATAATGATAAATGATGTGAAGTTTGGTTGAGAATTATTTAATTATGTTCTAAGTGTAGTGTATATAAGGTAACGTTTTAGGACTCAGTTTGGTAGTAGTTGGATCTGGTACAGGTTTGTTTATATCCGGTACAGTTGAGCTTGGAGACTGAAGCTTTGCTAATTACTCTTGGGTCTAAGTAACAATCGTTGTGTTCTTAAAATATGAGTGGAAGAGGGATGAGTCTTGTGCATCTGGTTAAAAAGGGAGGGGAAAAATGGAGTGCATCAATTTCAATATCATCCTCTCAATAAGTAAAGGGGGAAAGCCCATCAGGAATGTCCTTCTGTGTTGTTAATTTCCTCTACTTTAAGAGTAAAAGAGCAAAAATATTTCACTTAGGGGTCTATCTGCAACAACAAAACTATAGCGGCTCATCCACAATTGAGCAATAGTACAGAGGTCCCTCCACAACTAACCCTAAATCTAGAACTGCTCAGTCTAAGCTAGACCCAAAATCATACAAGTATTTTTTTTATAACCCAACCCGAAATCTTATTCATGACCATGAGAATCATATTAGAACCTCCCAACAGTCTGAATCACCTACTGTTGATGGTTTATATCACACAGTTAAAAGAGAAGGTAGATAGGGATTGGGTTGATATAAGGGCCGCTCACTTTTTCAAATATCCGATTTGGAGTTGGGCTGTCCGTCATTGCACGCGTAACAACTCGTAAAAGGACGGGGACTGGTTCCCCCGTTATTCCTCCGACGATCAAGTTAGCTAGATGCTTGAGTGAGAATATGAAAAAAATACAGCAACGAAATGGAGAAAAATGCTGAGAAATTGCTTACCCTTGTATTTGGAATACTTTTCCTTTTTATGGCCAAGCAAGAGGGGTAGTCTAGTCTTTTTGATCGAGCCTGAGTGATGCAGGAGATCAAGTATTGGACGAGGCAAGTAGAAAAGCAGTCGAGTCGACTAAACATCTAGATGAGATGAGACGACAACAGAACAGGCGAGTCGAGATGATGACACGACAAGTCAACACAACCAAGCCGAGACGAGCAGACGACTCGAAGCGATAGGACAAGTCGATACATGTCAGTCAACACGAAAGGTGGGACGACTCGACATGCTTAGTCGGCTCAGGTCCAGTGGACACAAAAGGCGGTGCTAGTCGGCACGCCTCGTGTCGAGTTGGATTTCAGATTAGGAAATAGTTCCTTTTTAAGTGTTTCCGTTTGGGATTTGGTATTTTCCTTTTAGGCTTAGAGTTTCTTTTTTATTAGGGTTAGGATAGATTTAGTTGGCTATTTATAATCGTTTTTTTTTGTAATTCAAACAATTAACTTTCAATTTATTCAACCAAGAGATTTTTTTCTCCTTGTTTTCGTTCTCAAGTTTGAGATACTTAGGGCTTGTGGATTTAAGCTCGTGAACTACCTGCTATTGTCAGGGCTCGTCGGCATCGGAACGATATCCGATCGGCCTCCCCGTTTCTACGTCTGTGTCAAGTAGTATCAGAGCTTCAGCTTCAACATCCTCAACAATGGTGGGTAACGACGAGAAGTAGCTTTCTCTACAGGATCTTTCCGCGAGGATGGATTCTATGGATGGAAGATTTAGCACGTTGGAGGCGTCTCTTCAGAACCTTCAACAAGCTATTGAAGGAATTACCCTTCAACTCAACAACGGGACTAATCTCACCGGCGGTCTTCACCTAAGCGGACCCGGAGTTAGGCTACCCCGACATTCACCCCCGTACAATCCTCAAACCTCTCCAGTTCATCTCCCTCCAAATCAACCACATCCAAACCAACCACCTCCATATCAACCCCCCTCAATATCAACCTCCTCCATATCAAACCCCTCCACATCATCGAAGACTTCCCAACCAACCCCTTCACCATGATGATTACAGTGACAACAGAGCGGACTATGGTCACCAGTTTGAAGGGCAATGGTACGACAATGTTTTGAGTGAAGAAGAAGAAGATCGACCTTACAACAGAGGATGGGGTAGGGGTTAAAACCCTCGTCACAACTACCATCGACAAGGCTGACATCATTAGGAATAAGAATATAGGATGAAGATAGAGCTTCCTTCCTTTGGAGGAAATTTGGACATAGAAGCTTTCCTGGATTGGCTCTACGAAGTGGAGAAGTTCTTTGAGATGGCAAATATTTTCGAAGCAAACCAGGTGAAGTTTATGGCCTATCATCTCCAAGGAGGAGCCTCTATATGGTGGGATAAAACTCAAAACACTAGGCGACGACAAGGCAAACAACCAGTTTGGGTTTGGCGATGCATGAAGCAGTTGCTACAGGAAAGATTTCTACCACCTGACTATCAACAAATCCTCTACAATCAGTTCGAGCAATGCCGTCAAGGAATCTGAATAGTAAGCACGTATACCGAAGTGTTCTTCCATCTTACTTCTCGTTGCGATTTGTCGATGAGCGAGGAACAACTTGTAGCCAAGTATATTGGTGGTTTGAAGTATTTAATTCAAGAGAAGGTGGTCATCCACAACGTGTACTCTGTGGATGAAGCCCATAACATGGCTCTCAAAGCAGAAAGATTGGCCTCCAAGACATTACCTTTCAGACGAGCCGAACAAGGAGGTTCGGTCGAGAAGGCGAGAGGAGAGTTGATAGGGCAAAGGACGACTTCCCCTCCACGATCGGCCAAGCAGTTGACGACTCAGCCACTGCCTCAGGCGACTCAGGCAAATCAATATGCCAAGCCGACCGTCGGGAAGTATCTCTACGCATACTGCTCCACCAAAATTGTCTCTTTAGATCCTTAATTATACAACTTAGTCATGCCTAGATGCACTGTGTACCTGGTGCGATGTGCCTTATCAAATAAGTCTTTCTTTAACTGTGAATCATCTAGCACTATCAACCGACCCTTCATCCGAATCCGATGGTCTAATTGCCTTGGGCTCTTTAGAAATCTACTTCTTTCGAATTTGAATCCAAGAGTTCTCTAGCTGAGCTCTGACCACTCTATCACTCCAAGATGACTGTACTGACAAAGCTCCTAAAAATACGCTGCTCCCGCCGATCTCCGGTCTAAAATTAAACTGGATAAGGGTGTAAAGATCTCGATACAATGAGCACCTCAAAGCTAAAATACGATATTGATGTTTCCTGCTCAACACATCCGCTACTACGTTCGTCTT